ACAAGGGCGCCCGCCGCCGCCTCCCCGCTGCTGGGTATGGTGCAGCCCCGCGCCTATGCCCACACCGACCCTCCCTGGCCCTGGCCCCGGCCCCACCCCAGCCCCCTGACACACCCTGTTCCCAGGCGCCATCATGTCTTTCGCCGCGGGCTTCCTGAAGATCCGCTGGGCCCTGTGGTCGAAGTTGGTCATCGCGGCTGTGACCGCCACACAGGCTGGGCTGGTCTTCCTCCTGTACAACTCCGAAACATTTGTACAACACCCTCACAACATCTGGCTTTGCTATGCGGCCTTCGTGGTCTTCCGTGGGGCCTACCAGTTTCTCGTGCCCATCGCCACGTGAGTGGGCAGGTGTGAGGCGCTTCCAGAAGGGTCTGTGGGAAGCACAGCGTGGACAGGCTGCGTGGATGGGTCCACAGGAGCGTGTGTGTCCTTGCTGGACGCCCTAGTCTTGGCACAGCCCCAGGCCTCGGCATGTGATCGCACATGCACTCATACCATAGTACACACACACGTGTGTGACATGCTCACATGTGTATAGGGCATGCTACACACATGTATCTGCACCACATACGCACCATGCATGCACTACACACAAACCACACGCTCACACATGCCACACCCACACCGTGTGCACACATACATGTGCCACACAGACACCATACACATGTGCACACACACACAAATACATGTGCACACACACGTACCCCACGCACATGCACATCCGTCATGCATGCACACGGGCTCACCCACAGGCCTGAGCCTTTCCTGACCTCCCACTCCCCTCCTTCCTGGAGAACCTTGCCCACCTCCCCCGTTCCAGTGGCCAGGGCGCCACTGGGACGGCCCAGTGCCTGTACTTTTCTGTCCTGCACACCTACCCACGCTGTCCCTGGCGCAGGAAGCCTGGGTCTAACGCGGTGTCCGGGGACTGCCTCTGCGGCACTGGCCCACGTGCGTCCTTGCCTTTTCTGGGACGAGTCTCGCTCCTTGTGCGCTCCTCTGATGTATTTAACCGTAGCCAACTTCATCCCACCCTTCCCGCCCGCCCGCTTCTCCGGATGAGGGTTTTCCCAGCCTTCTGTAGCAAGTCCTCCAGGCATCTTCCTCACTTGTGGCACCCATTCTGCTGCCCAAGGGGGCCAGATTCAGAGCAGGTGCTGGGGCTGGGAGTCCTGGGCCTGCTCTGCTGCATCTGGGAGCTGCTGCAGGGAGGGGAGGGGGCTGAGAGCAGGCTGAGGCTGGGGGTGGGGCTGGGCCTTGCTTGGGGCAGGACCGTCTGAGCTATATCTGTACTGGGGGTGGGGCTGTGTGCCTGTGCAGGGCTTGCCTGAGCTGTATAGCGGGCACCCTGGGTCCAGCTGTAGCCCTGCAGGCCCCCTGACTCCTGTCACCTCCCCATCGAGTCTGATCATTGCTTTCTCTTCCCAGTTTCCAGATTGCATCTTCCCTGTCTAAAGAGCTGTGTGCTCTGGTCTTTGGCATCAACACGTTCCTGGCCACCGTTCTCAAGACCTGCATCACACTGGTGGTCTCCGACAAGCGGGGCCTGGGCCTCCCTGTCTTCTCACAGGTGAGCTCGGGTCAGGCTTGCTTCTTCCGGAGGGAAGCGTCTTACGATCCCGGCAGAGCTTTCTGGTGCCCACTCGGACCCCCTCACAGACCCAGACCACATCCCCTGCTGCTGGCGGGGCTGTGTTGGAGCAGGGCCTTAAGGAATGGTGTGGTCTCTTGCCTGGTGCCCACCTCTCCAGGGCCCTGGGTCTGTGGAGGATGACAGAGCCTCTGCCCACCCAGGTATCCATCCGAGCTGCTCATTGCTCAGCCTGGCTTCTGTCTCCAGGGAGACCCTGGACCTCCAGTCCCTAAGGAGGAGAGGCCCTCCTCAGGCTGTGGCCCCGCACTGACCTGTGACACCAGCCTGTGTTGTCACAGCCCCACCCTCTTGCTGTCATCTGTGCCTGTGGTTGTCAGGGCCCGGTGTCCTTGAGCCCTGGTTGGGGGACCGGAGTGTGTTTCTGCAGGGCGGAGGCCATGCAGAGCCCAGAAGCTGCACTCTGGGTGGGCGTCCCTAACCTACCCCACGCAAGTTCTCTGGCATTTCTAAGAGCTTCGAAACTCCTGACCACTGAGTGAGGTGGGGACATTGCACATTAACTCTCCTGGTGTCTGGCAGAGGCCGGGTCTGTGAGCCAACTGAAGCTAGCCAGGCGCTGGACTCCGGGAGGGATGGTTGCCAGGCTGCTCCTGACTCCCTAGCCTGGGGCTGGACAGCACCCTCTGCCGGCCTGGAGGAGGCCTTTGTCCTGCTCTGCTTGCGCTGAGTGGAGGGCCGTGGTCTTTGTGCTCCATTGATACTTGGAGACCTCAGAGGTGCTGGTTGGTCAGCATGGCCTGGTCCTCCAGTCTCAGCATCAAGTCCATTTGCTCAGGAAAGAGGCAGAGGTGGGGTAGACTCACTTGGGCATGGGTGAGACTGAGGCTGGGTTGAGAAGGGCTTTTTTTTTTTTTTTTTTTTTTTTGTTTTGGGGGGTGAACTCTTGACCTTGCGCTTGGGGGATTTGGTATCGGGGGTTGAACTCATGACCTTGCGCTTGAGAGGCAGGTGGCTGCACCACTGAGCTACATCCCCACCCTAAAGTACTGGGGATCAAACTCAGGACCTTGTGCTTGTGAGTCAGGCAGTGGTACAACTGAGCTAAAGCCCTGGCCCCAGGAAGACCTTTTGGGTGAGGATGCCTGTCTCCGGCTCAGCAGAGCCCTCCAGGTGCCTGACCCCTCTGGGCTGGACCCAGGACTCCCAGGCCTTGAGAGGTTCCTGGGTCCATGCTGAGTGGGGTAGAGGAAGCCTTCTCAGGCAGCTGTTTCTGAAGGCACAGAAGCTTTGCTGGGTGGGTGGAGCCAGCAACCATCCTACCACCCCAGAAGTGGTGGGAAGGCAGGGTGGGAGTGTGGGCCTGGAGCCAGCCTGGCCTTGCTTGTTTTGCAAATTAAATTTCATTTGGGGGGAATTTGACAGTCTCATGCTGTTTAAGACAATTGCAGTTCTGGGGGTCACATCTGGACACTGTGTCCCTACAGGGCCCCGTGGGGCCCTTTGGTAGCCACCCTACTGCACTCCCAGCCACCTCCTCTTCACTGGCCGCCAAGTGTGGTCATTGCAGGAAGGTTATGTGTGCCCTCGAGTTGTCCTTGAGCTCAGGCCTGCTGTATAATTTCTACCACCATGTAGCACTGCGGGCTGCAGCTGTGCCTGGGTCAGCGGCTTGCCTTGGAGGCTCTGTGTCATCTCTGCTGCAGATAGCACAAGTGCAGGGGCCACGGGTGTGCTGTCGTAGGGCTTACGAGAATGTAGGTTTTCGCTTCCTGGGATGAGGCCCAGCTGGAGTCACAGGGTGACGTGCAGCTGTGTTTGGAAGCTGCTGTTTCGCCATGGCAGGACCAGGGGAGCCCGTCTCCCCACACCTTCCCCAGCCTGATGAGGTTGCTCTGTTCTGTGGGCACTGACCTCCCCGGTGGCCCTAGTTTCATTTCCTCAGTGGATCACGTTGGTGTCTCTTCATGTGCTGTGTGCCATTCATATCTCCTCATCGGTGAAGTGTTTGAGTCTTCTGCTTATTTTGGATTTTTTACAGTTTTCAAACAGTTTTGAGCACTGTTGTATCACTGGCAAACATTTTCTTCAACTCTGTAACTTGTCTTTTCATTTTCTCAACAAGGTCTTTGCATAGCCAGTATTTTTAATTTTGGTGAAGTCTTGATTGAATAGTTTTTCCTCTTAATGGGTCATGTTATAGTCAGGTCTAAAGAACTTACCTAACCTCAAATTCAGAAATTTCCAGTTTCTTTTTAGAAGATTTATAATTTGCATGCGAGTGTGGTCCATTCAGAGTTAACTTGTGTGTGAAGTGTGAGGTTTAGGCCAAGGTGCACTTTGCTTTGCCCTTTGTTTTGCTCCAGCACAATTGTTGGGTTTTTTTGCAGTTTTGTCAAAACAGTGTTTATGTGTGACTATTTCTGAGGTCTGTATTCTATTCCTGTGCTGACCCTTCTACTGAGACCACACAGTCTTGATTACGAAGCTTTATGCTAAGTTTTGAAACTGGGTAGGCTGATTGCTATAACTTTTTAATTTTTATTGTTTTATTTTATTTTGGTTTTTTGAGACAGGGTCTCACCATGTAGTTGAGACTGACCTGGAACTCACTATGTAGCCCAGGCTGGTCTCGAACTCACAGTGATCCTCCTGCCTCAGCCTCCCGAGTGCTGGGATTACAGGCATGCGCCACTACGCCCGGCTGCTATAACTTTTTTAAAAAAATTAATTCCACTAATATAGTTTGTCTTCCTTTAGACATAGTAGGGGCAAAATTCTGGCTGGATTTTGTTAGGAGTTGCATTAAACCAGTGTATCAGTTCTGGGAGAATTAACATATTATGTTGAGTCCTTTAACCCACAAGGATCGTATGTCTCCCCATTCATTTAGATCTTTGATTTCTTTCATCATTTAATTTACAGCATACAAGTATTAAGTGCTTACGTGTCTTGTTACGTTTATAAATTTAAATATTTAATTTGGGAGGGAGAGGAGTTAAATGAAACTGTATTTACAATTTCTGTGTCTGCAGTAGGGTGACCAGGCTTCTGTAACAATGTGTAAACTTATCGTCTCGTGGTCCTGGAGGCTGGAGACCCAAGGTAGAGGTGTCGCGGGGCCCATCCCTCCTGGGGCCTCTCCCGGTTTGCAGATGGCATCTTCTGGTGTCCTCTGCTGGCCTTAGCGTGCGTGGTCTTTCCTGTCTGTCTTGGAATAAGTGCTGCAGTCATGTTAGGTGAGGGCATCGCTCTTCCGGCCCCGTTTAGCCTTGTCTCCTCTGCTCAGGCCCTGTCCCCAAACACAGTGACCAAGCGGTTAGGGCCTTAGCCCCTGAACAGGGCGGGGGGGCACAGTTCAGTACATAATAGTAGTGCATGTGTTAGTGCCGTTCAGTGTGTGTGTAGTGCACGCGTGTTTGGTGTGTAGTGCAAGTGTGAACACATGTGTATTGCTAGCACAGAAATAAATAGATACTGAGCTTTTTCCTGCATCCTGCAACTTGCTGAGCACTTACTAGTGCTAGGGTTTTTAGCCTTCCTGTAGTTATGTTATCTGCACATAAAGATGTTCTGTTTTATACCTGTCTGATCTGCATACCTTTTATTTACTTTTTTCTTTGGCCTTATTTCACTAAATAGAACTTTATTTCTGTTTTTCTGCTTGCTTTAGATTTATTTTGTTCTTTCCTGGGTTCCTGAGATGAGTTTATTGGTCTGAGACTTTCCCTTTTCTTAGACACCCACATTTAGTGCTGTACACTCCTCTTTCAGCAGTGCCTTAGCTCCAGCCTACAAATTTTTATATGCAGTATTTTCATTTTCTTTTCCAGTTATTTTTTAAATCTCACTTGAGACTTCCTTTTGGATTTATGATTGTTCAAAGCGTTTGTTTCCCACCTGTTTTGAGTCTTGTTATTTTTGTTATAAACTTTTTATTTAATTGCAAGAGGAAAACACTTGTGATTTGAATCTGTTGCTTTGTTCTCTGCCCAAGTGTTGTCATTCTGCTTGTGTGCCCTTTGGGCCCTGGGAAGGGTATGAACTGTGTCCTGCACACACCGCCCAGGCGTCTGGGGTGGTGGTGCCTTCTCCCGAGTCCTCCAGCCTCCGTGTCTACTCATCCTCTCCCTGCTGAGAGGAGGGTGCTGCCGTTTCCAGGGTGACAGCAGGCCCGCTGTGTCCCGGCTCCTGTGTGCACACTGGGGGGTAACTGGACGGACCTGCCTTTTCCTGTGCCCACCTCTGGCCTCCCCCTGGCGTCACTGAGCCCCACTCTCTGGCGTGGCCCCTCGGCCCCTTCCCTCGCAGCCTGCTGTCTGCAGGTCTCACGTGGGCTTCTGCCGCGCTGCCTGCTTTCCCGCACCCCTCCGCCCGCCTTCCACTGGGAGTTTGCACCGCCTCTGCTTTGCCTGCAGGCTTACACAGTAGGGCTCGGGTCTGTGGTTTCAGTCTCCGGGTTGTTGCTTCTGTTTTCAGTTTCCGTTTTCTTTCTTCACTTTTGTGATGGGTACTTGCGCATTCTGCAGGGTTGTGCCTAGGTTTGTCTGTTGCATTTCACAGTGTGGCATAGGTTTTTCTGTTGCATTTTTCAGTGCGGCATCTTGACAGCTGCCCCTGCTTAGGCTATCAGTGCTAGAGGCGTGGAAACCGCCTCGCCCCGTCATGTGCGTGTGCATTGTAATGATTATCCTGGCTTTTTCCCCACTTGCCTCTAGAGCCACATAACACAGCGTTACAGATTTTGCTTCACCTGTCAGACATAACTTAGAAAAACTGAAGAGAATGATTATGCCCTATTTGCCTACTTCTTTGTTTCAAGATTCCTTCTTGTACTCTTTTCTCTTTAGAGTTCTTTTTGCCATAATTTACATAGGCCTGCCGATGTCATACTTTTCTAGTTTTTCCTCACCTGCGTGCCTCCTGGTTTCTCTTGTCCCTTCTGTTTAACCTTTGCTGGCACCTTGTGTGTTTCCATGTCTTCCCTGCATACTTGCAACTGGTGACTGCCCACCTGTTTTGAGACTGCCGCTTTAAACCTGCCCATTAGTTGGAACGGCTGTCGTCCCCGTTTTGGGGTTTGGAGAAGACTTCCGTGTGAGATGCTATGGCTCTGAGGGTATGAGCAGCTGGCCCAGACCTGGCACATTGCCAGCTGGTGTGTGTGAGTCTCTGGACCCTGCTGGAGCCATCTCCTGAGCCTGCTGCGGCCTCGTCACAGCCAGGCACATGGGAGGTGGATCCCTTCATCCAGGTGACGCTGCGTCCGGGTGCGAGTTCCAGGTCCTTCCTGGGTCCTGGATGCTGTCGGGGTGGGGCACTGTACTTACTGCTGGCTGGGCTTGAGGCCAGACCCCTGGTCTCCCTGACACCCCACGTGTAGGGGCACAGTCCCAGGCACCCCGCTGTCTGCCGAGCTGGTGAGTGGGGACGGGAGGGAAGTAGCTCCCGGCCCCATAGGTGGGGACGGGGTCTTCTGCCAGCGGGAGCAGACGACCCTTGTCAGAGTTTTCCCACTTGCCCCGCCGCCCATCCTGTCCTCTGGCCAGCGCACTGTGCTCTTTCCCGTGTCTGTCAGCATCTGTGGGCTGCGGGCTTCTTCAGTTCCAAAAGAAAAACCCTGTGGAGCTCACCCTGTACCCCTGGGGTCCTGAGGCCGCTTATGTGTGCAGCATCCTGCGGCGTCCAGGGGTTTGGTTCAGGCCAGGGAAGAAGAGGGAGTCATGCCAACCCCAAATTTGGGAATGAAGTCTTGGGGGGTTCTTTGGAGGCGGCTCCACAGCGAGCATTCACGGAAGGTTGCTGGTGCCGAGAGCGCGGAGGCCCTGCCGGCGCAAGGGCTCTGTGGCACATCTGGCACGATTTAGTCCTCCCTCTGTCCTGGGGATGACCCAGCTCCTCCTGCCCTGAGCAGCCTGGGGACAAGGAGGGGGCATCCCCAGCTGGGCTGGCTGCCCCATTGGCATTGCGTAACTTCTGTCCAGACTCCCTGCTGGCCACCTGCTGTGCCAAGCTCTGACCAGAAAGTTCTGGCGCACTGGGATGTGGGCTGAGGGCTCCTAGGAGCCCGACCCCACAGAGAGAGTAGGGGCACAGCCGTGGTGGCCACCCAGGCAGGATGCGTATCAGGTTCCCCTGGAGCCCCTGTCCGGGTTCCCCAGGTCGGGGAGGGCCAGAGGGGGCAGCTGCCGTGGGACCTTCTCCCGGGCCTGTGCCCCTGTGCAGTGCTTGGTGACAGCCTGGAGCTGGGGCTGGGTGGCTGGGTGGTGTCCTGGACTGAGGGTGTCATGGCGGGGCAGCCTGAGCGCCCGCCCTGCGCCCCTGCGCCCCTGCGCCCTCTCTGCTTCCTCCGTCCCCTGTACCCCTCCCCTTCCAGCCTTGCTCACCTGCGCCTCTCTGTTCCAGTTCCGCGTCTACTTCGTGTACTTCCTGGTGCTGTCCATCATCTACTTCCTGGGAGCACTGCTGGATGCACCACTCTTTCTGCACCACTGCCGGTGGAGGCGCCACCAGCCCTTGCCCGCGGTGCAAGAGTTGCAGAGCCCCTCGGAGAAGAAGGCCATGAAAGCGCTGAGCGTGCAGGCCGGAGACCTGGGTGGCCTGCAGCCCTCAGCTCTGCCACTGCCCCGTGAGGATGGCGCGGATGAGGGTGGCGTGAGGGCCCTGGGAGCCGGGACCAAGGCCTGACCCCAGCCTTTCCTAGCGGGCTGAATGACTCCCAGTTGAGGCAGCACCTCTCAAGGCTCTGGGGTCTGCCGTCCCGACCCTGGCCGGGTGGGCATCCCAGGCCTGTGTCCACTGGCTCATTGGCACTCAGGACGTGAACAGTGGCACTGGCCTCCATGGTCCTGCAGGACATGTGGTCCTGCCTTGGCTGAGGGGCCTTTGCTGCGGGCAGCCATGGAGCCCCTTGGCCCTACATCATACTCACTGGTGGCTGGAGCCTGGGGGGAACCCTGAGCAGCCACCTTGCCGATGGACTACACTCCACACAGTGGGCCTGGGCTGCCTTCGTTTGCCAAGAGTGGTTGGCTCTGCCATGCTGGAGGCTAGCCAGTCTGCTGATACCGCACACACTGTCCCCACCAGGTCTTAGCTTGCGGGGAGCCCCTTCCCCAGGGCCTGGCTGAACTGTCCCTCCAGGGTGGGTGGGAGCCATCCATGGCTTAACTGTGACTGTGCTACTTGTCTTTGGTGCTTGTGTGTGCAGATGATGCTCTTGTAAAGATGTGAATCCGTGCCTGGCTTCTTCACTGCGTGCGAGAAGCTGCTGGCGTGGGTACTCTGACCTTGCTGTCCCGGCCCCTCAGCGTGGCTCCTGTTTCTGCCATGGGCTGGCCCTGTCCTGTGTGGAAGAGGTGCTTGCAGCCTGTGGGGACCGAGAGCATGGCCTCCCTTGAGCTGGGCTTGCCTGGAGCACAGGCTGTGGGTGGGCGGCTTCCCCGGAGCCTGCTTTCCATGGTGAGCCCGTGCATTCCTCTGGAGACGTGTGGGCCGCTCCTCAGACACATTAAACACTGTGATCCTGCGTGTGCGATGGGCTCTGATTCCAGCCGCCTGGCCTGGGCTGCATGGGCTGCAGTTGTTTGGGCCAGGGACATGGTTCCCACATCCAGTCAGCCCACAGTGGGGCCTTGGCCCTCTGCCCTTGGGCCAACCCCCAGCCCTGCTGGCCCAAGAGAAAGTCTCCCGCTCAGAGCCATCTCAGCACAGAAAGCGACCAGAGCTCCTGGCAGGGGACGGACTTCAGGGTCAGTGTGGATGGTAGGCATCCAGGGTCTGTTGAGGCTGCATAAGGGTGGCCTGTGTCACAGCTGGGGCCAGAGCACTGCACAGAGCAGTGGCCCTCGGCACCCATGGTCTTGCTGGGAAGGGGGCAGCACTCTCCTTTCTGGCCTGGACACTCATCACCACACTAGCCCACGACACAGCTGTCAGCCTCATGGCTGATGTGGCCACGTGGGGCATTGCTGGCACCTGTACCCGAGCCCCCTGCACCTCCCATGGGACCTTCCATCAGGGGTCTGCACTGGTTCTGCAGCCCTGCTGCCCTGTGCCCTCCACCAGCATGAGGGCAGGTGGCATGCTCTGCCCTTGGCCAGTACCCTGCTCTATGGCACACCCAGCTGGTTGTGCAGGGAGCAGTGGGGCTAGCCTGGACCCGGGAGAGACCCTTGAAAAGGGTGGATGGCAAGGACCTGGACCTCTGCAGGATAGCAGCACACCAGTGTGTGTCTGCATAGCTGGTCACCTACACATCGTCCATGCATACTCGTGCATCTCCACACCTTCACGGTGTATCCTGCACACTCATGTACACCCATGCTCCCTCAGAAGTCCAGGGACAGAGGGCTCCCAAGGGCTTGGGTGGATGATCTTGCCCTTCAGTGACAGGGAAGACTGCTTACAAACCACGTATCGGTGTAAAAGGTCTTTATTCAGTGTCCTTTTGAAACAGTTCACACCACAGATACAGAACTGGTCCTGCTTGTTTTGCCCAGTCCTCAGACCACAGACCCTAGATCCTGAGGCAGGAAGCACAGTGGCTGCAGTTGGCCCAGGGTGGCCAAGCATGTGGCCCCTGTGGCAAGATGCTCTGGGGAGACTGCTGGGCTTCTGTACTTGCAAGCAAAAGGGCTGGGGACAGGACACTGCCACTACCTGACTCATCACCCACACCCCTATCCTAGTCAGACAATGGGGTCATACTCTGGCCCAGCCTGGTCTCAGCGTCACCTGAGATACCAGCCCAAGGAGGCATGATGGGGCCCCGATGCCCAGGCAGGCTGGACAGACCATAGTGGGCCTCCTGTTCTAGGCACGGCCAGGTGGTGGGGGACACTGAGCTGGAAGCCTGCTCCTGCAGGGAGCTGGGGAGGGGGCCCAGGTGTGGCTGTTGTCTCCCTGTGGGCGAACATGTGTCTGGCACAGCCAGTGGGTGGTGAGGACAGGCCAGGGGCTTCATGCTGACTGGCCCAGCCTCCAGCACCTCCAGTGGCCAGGCCCTTCCCACACTGGTGGCCTGTGAGTCCACAGCAGGACACCTGCAAGTCTCGGCCAAGTGTCCTGGGCCAGCCTTCATCCTGAAAGGCAGCCGTGGTCTGAAGTGGCCTGGGCACAGAGGCCAGCACCGTGTTGCAGCTGGCCAGCATTGTGGGGAGGGCAGGAGCAGGGACACTTTGCATCAGGCTGCTCTAAACTTTAAAAAAAATATACTCTTTGGCTTCCTTTTATTTCTCAAGGATTACATGAAAAGTGAACCACACGGGAAAGTATCCACCAGGTTCTGGGCCAGCCGGACACTCCCTGCCTGTGCCAGTCCTCACTGCCTCTGCCCACCATCCAGTGCAGGGCCCTACTTGGAGGGCGTCATGAAACTGTTCTCGATGCAGAGGACGATGTAGGTGTTACGGCAACTCGCGGCGTTCTGCTCCAGCAGCCTGCCTGCTAGCAACGAGGAGGCCTGGCCCGTGGCCCCCACTGCCTCCGTGCGCCATGTCTCACAGTAGCTCTCAGTCAGCCGGCGCCCGCTGGGGTCAGAGCCATGCCACACGCTCTTCTGGGGCCTGTAAGACGCACCGGGCGGTCAGCCTCTGCTAGACCCAATACCCAGTCCTGGGGCTGTTACCCTGAGGCTGCAGAGCTGGGAGGTGTCCGTCCCAGAGGGGCTGTGCTGTGGCTTAGGCCAGGTCACCTGCCGCCTGCACCCCCTCCTGATACAGGCATCAGGTGCTGCCTGGCCCCGACAAGCCCCACTCGCCCACAGCTCTCACATGGGCCTGGGGTGGCTCTTGTGGGTGCCCCACAGTGACAGCAGCTGGCGAGGGCTGCCTTCCACCTGGGGGCACCCTTTCCAAAAGCAGAGAGAGGGGGCAGAGCTGGCATCAGCAGCAGGGCAGGACCTGAGGGGAGCCCAGGACTCTGGCTCAGAGACTACCTGTGACGCTTGCGGGGCCGTCTGGGCCGGGGAAGGAGTCGCGGACAGTGCTGGGAGCCTGCCCAGCAGCATGGACGGGGCAGTGGTGCCCCAGAGCCACACTTTTCACTGCACCCTCTGGGTTTTACAGTTTCTGTCTCATCATGGATGGTTTAGGTTGGCCCAGAGGCGGAGGTGACCCGCGGGATGCCAGGCCACCCCTCTCCAAGCTGCCCTGCTGTCCACGCAGGGGACCTACCAGGCTGGGTGCTTCAGGACGTCCCTGCCATCGAAGGAGAAGATGCGGGCGCCAGGCTTCAGCTGGCCGCGGGAACCTGAGAACAGGGCCTCCCAGCTGGGAGACAGCACCTCGTCCTTTGGAGAGAAGATGGGACTCAGGTCTGGAGAGCTGAGCCGTGGGCCCCAAGAACCCCGGGCTCCAGTGCCACTGTGAGGGCAGGTGGGCTCCTCTACCTTGGTGCTAGCCCAGCCCAGGACCCTGGACTGCATGTCCCCTGTCTTTATTTGTGGGGAACACCAGCTGTGGTGGCGCACGCCTGTAATCCCAGCACTCAGAAGGCTGAGGCAGGAGGATCACTGCAAGTCCAAGATAGCCTGGGCTACATAGTGAGTTCAAGGCCAGCCTGATCTCCAGTGAGACCTGGTCTCAAAAAACCACGTGGAAACCCCTTTCCCACTTTGTGAAAAGGAGCCATGGGCACACGTGCCAGGCCAAGGGGCCCAAGGAGATTTCCTGACCCCTGCATGTGGGAGGGCCGGTCACCCGTGTAAGTGGATGCCCCAGGACCCCTGGGGCACTGTGAGGGGCAGGGGTCTCAGGCTGTGTGGGGGCTTCCAGCACAAGGCGCTGCCCAGTCTCTGGGGCATAGCCACCCACAGGCTTAGGGCCCACCCAGCCCCAGGACAGCACAGCACTGCCCACAGCTGGGCCACCCACCTTGAGGTTGACGATGGGCACAGTCCCGCGGTCCGCACGGCGCACAATGCTGTAGAGGTCCTGCAGCCGCGAGGAGAGGAAGGCACGGAAGGTGCCGCTCAGCCCCACGGCGCGCGCCTGCTGGAAGCACTGAAAGTCGGCTCCGCGGATGCCACGCATGCCCCCCGGCAGTGGGCTGTTGAGCGCCACCAGGTGGAGCTGCAGGGAGAAGATGCACCGGTCACGGACCTGTCACATGCCACGGCCCGGCACTGAAGGCCAGTATAGCCCAGGAGGCTGACGCTGTCTGGGTGCTGCAGGCTCAGGAAGCAGCCTCCAAGGGACCCTCTGGATGCAGCACAGTGCCCACCCCAGCTGTGCTGGTCTCGCCTGCAGGACGGGCGTAGGCTCTGGCCCAGGGCTTTCTCCTCTGTGCCTTGGAGCTTCCGAGGTGTCTGAATATGCAGATGGTTACTCAGCCACTGGAGGCCACCTGGGCCCATGATGCACCCCCAGGACCAAGAGCCGTGGATCATGACCACCCGGGAGCTCACCACTGGCTGGAAGTCACGGTGGGTGTGGGCAGGCGAGCCTGTCGGACTGGCTGGCTGGAGATGCACGTAGGCGCCATGGTGTTGTGAGGCCCCAGGGTAGGGCTGGGGGTCCAGCAGCCGTGGGGGGCTGGCCAGGATGTCATCTGCCCTCCAGGGCCGCGCAGTGGAGTAGGGGTGCTCCCGCTGTGGGTATGGGCCACCACCGTGCAACTGCACCAGCGGGGGCTGCAGGGCGGCCACCTCGTTGTCCTGCGATGGAAGACAGTGCCATGGACAGAGGATCCAGCACCACAACCCCGCTGCTGCCATCCCTTCTCCTGCCTCTGCCCTGTCCTGGCAGCCAGCACCGGGCTTCTGCGTGGTGGGTAACGGTTGCCCTGGGGGTGCCCCACCACGCTCGGATTGGGGTCCATCCTCCACATGGCCAACCGGGCCACCTGATCAGAGACCACAGTCCTTGCCGACCACTGGCTCCCGCCCCCAAGCTGCCCCGTCCCCACCCAGCTACCTACTGACCCACGTACCCACCTTTCTATTCCTCTGCCCATCCACCCAGCCGCATCTATCCACCTGTCTGTCCGTCCATCCACCACCTGCCTATCTACCTGTCCACCCATCTCCTATTCCTGTTCTGGCTCTGTGGGCGAGGACTTGGCCGGGCAGAGATTGGCAGAGCCTGAAGTACAGCCCAGGGTGGGTGTGTGGACGGCCAGCAGAGATTTTCCTTTTCCAGTGGGGACCCCTGGAGTCACATGCTCCAGGCACCAAGCTGTGCGGGCCTTGCTCATTGTCCCCACAGCCACCAGCCATCCCGCAGAGTCTGTTCCCTCCTTACCGTCACACGAGGCAGTGGCATCCGGGCCTCCAGCTGGAAGGGAACAGCAGGGTTACTCCAGGGGTTCTGAGGGGAGCCACAGGCTGGGCCCCCACACAGCCCAGAACAGAGGGCCCAGCTACACCTCAACACCAGCACCAGGTGCCCGCTGGGTACAGGGCCACTGGGGTCCAGTGGGGGCTCCCTTTCTGCCCAGAGCGTGCAGCAGTCCAGATCAACCCCAACCCTTAGTGTGGACAGAGGACCCACAGACAAAATGGGTTGTTTGGCCTCACATGGGCCACACAAGGAGAAATCTGTGCTGGCCAATTAGGATGGTGCCCTGGATTGGAGAAAGCAGGGAATGAGGAAGGCCTCATCTTCTGGCTAAGGCTGGACAAGCAGCCCACAGCCGGGAAAGGAGCCAGGCCCGCAGGCCCAGGACTTGGGCATCCCAGAGGCCCGGGGTCCTCTCGTGGTATTCACAATGTGCCACTATGAAAATAAGCCCACACCACCCCTTGGGGCCCTCGGACAAGTCCTGTCCCCAGACTCCTGGGTGGGCCTTGCCTGGACAGGGGTTGCAGGCCTCTATCTGCACTCCGCCCACCTAGGCACCTGAAAGTCCAGGTGAGCGCACACAAAACACAGCTGCCGACTCTTTTAAGACCCCAGGAAGCGTGTCGAACACTGGCAGGCACCAGCCTTATCCTTGCAGAGGGGGCCGTGCCCCTAGAACTCACCAGGACCTTGCGGACCCCATTGCGGACACGGACGTAGAGCTCCTCGTCCTCTGCCACGAAGATGAGCCAGCCCTCAGGCACCTCGTGCACCTTCTCCAGCATGGCCTCGTAGGAAGTCCAGGCCCTCACCTGTGGGGCCGACCTCCAGGTGGGTGGGCAGGATGCACCCCAGGGGACCCAGCCCTCCCCAGGCCTGTCTCCCTCCAGCCCTCCCCAGGCCTGTCTCCCTCCAGCCCCTGACCACTTACCCCTGAGGAGGTGCCCATGGTCCCCGGGGGGCCTGGGGGGCCAGGAGGGCCAGGGGGACCAGGAAGGCTGACAGCTGCAGGAGAAAAGCTGGGTTGGGCCACGGGCCACAAAGGCAGCCTGGGGACAAGGCTGTGTCCCACCACCCCCTGATCCCCCACTTACTCTGCCTGTGTGGGCCGGGAAATGAGGGGGGACCGGGAGGCCCAGGGGGCCCAGGAGGGCCCTGGCGACCTTCATAGCCAATGCCAGGAGGCCCTTGAGGGCCAGGTGGGCCAGGTGGGCCCCGGATGCTCTCTCCCTTAGGACCCTAGGACAACACAAACCCCGTCACCTCGCCCCGGGCCCTCAGGACAGCAGCTGGGCCCCTGGGGTCCTCAGGCTCAGGCAGGGGACAGTGGGTGGGGCTGTGGCACCAGAAGAGCGGATGAGATGCACGTGGGGAGCTGTGTGCCCACCCGGGAGGCCGTGCCAGCCCCAAGGCCACTGTATACCCCACACAGACCAAGATTGCGGGGCCTTGGGCAGCGAGGCGGCCGAGTGTGCCCGTGGCGGGTTCCACGCTTACTGGGATCCCGGGGTACCCCGGGGGGCCGGGGGGGCCAGGCACACTGGAGCCAAAGAAGCCGCTGCTGGCCCCGGGCGCGCCCCTCTCGCCCTTCTGTCCGGCGTCCCCGCGGTCCCCCTTCTCGCCCTGCAGACGGATGGGTTCAAGTGAGCTGGCTGCATGCTAGTGCACCGTGGGGACTCTCGGCCCCGGGGACGTCACCCACCTTCATTTCAGCTCCCAGACGGAAGAGGTCCAAGGGGAACTGCCCTGTGGATGGGAGGACAGTGAGGCCGGCCAGTGGCCCGGCACCCACCCGCCCCTCCGGACATCAGCGTTCACGCGCACGTCTCACTGCGTCGGGTCCTGGCTCACGGCCCTTTCTGCTTCTGCTCGTCTGGGTCCTGTCACTGATACCTCTACACCGTCCTTCCCTGACAGGTAGGCCTGTGTCAGCCCTGACACTGGTCCAGACCCTTCTGGGTTTGGGCCGTCACTGCGAAGCTGCCCTCTGCTCCTCCCCTCTAGACCACGTCCCCGGCACCCTCTTCGGGGACCTCTCCCTGCCTCTTGTCAGCCCCGACAGGCCTATGATGGCGTCAGCCTTGGCAAAGAGCCAGCTTTGACGTTGGATTCTCTGACCCGTTTAATTTTCCTTCATTTATCTCAGTCCTCTGATACTTTTCCCCATCTACTTTCATCAAACACTTGCTGACATCCTGAGCTGGAGGCTTGGAAACTTGCTGCTGAAGGCTGCACTCTGTGAAGAAAGGGTTAATGATGCCCCTTTCCTTCCAGGGAGAGTAACCTGCAGTGACCTGTGCCTTTGGGGGAGCCCTGACCTTGAACAGTCCCTGACCTCAGGGTAACCTTCCCCTCTCCAGAAACCCCTGTTGTGGGAGCCCCAATCTGGGCTCTGCCCTCAGGCTGTGCCCTCCCGCTCCCTGAGGAGGTGCAGAGCCGGTAGCTCCAGGTGCTGGCTGTCCTGGGCCCTCTGGGTGTGCGGCCGTGTGTCGTGGACAAGCTTGGAGAACCCCTGCACAGCACCCACAGCCTCCTGTCTTGCACTGCCCAGAGGCCAAGCAGGCAGCGTCCCAGGCCCAGGTGCTGAGTTCCCCTCCTCCCAGGGAGGGTGTGCCAGAGCCCTCCATCGCGCCCAGCCTGGACACCGAGGGGTGCTCACCTGGTGGTCCGGGTGGGCCCACGTCCCCTTTGTTGCCCTTTTGTCCAGAAGGCCCTGGCAGCCCTGGGGAGCAGGGACCCTGTGTGGTTGTGTGGCCCAGGAGGGACAGCTCTGCCCATACCCCGGACCCTCAGGCAGGAGGGGAGGACACTGTGGGATGGGACCAGCGCAGGGGAGGGTAGAGGCCTGAGCAGGGCAGGAGGAAGCTAAGGTGGGAGACGGCCTGGCCCATCACCGCAGTCCCAAGGCAGTCAGGGTGGGCTGGGCAGAGGGCACAGCACCCTGGGGTGTTAGAAGTGGAGTGCAGGGGTAGGCGGAGCACTCTCTGCCTGTCCCTGTGAAGGGCATCTGTCCCCAGGGAGCAGAGCCCAGGCCCATCAGCCACCCACCATCTCCCGGGAGCCCTTACCTTGTGGTCCCGGAGGTCCAGGACGGCCGGACTCCATGAATGCCTGCCAAGCACAGGCAGGGGTGGCACTGAGGGACGGAGCCCTGGAAACTGAGGTCACTGTCCCCCAGGGGCCCCAGCTCCTCGCCCACAGGGAGATGTGGCATTTAAAGGGCCGGATGGGGTCCAGAGCGGGGCGCCACAACACCTGCCTGTGAGGGTCCCCCGCCCCCAGCCCAGGCACTCAGCTGTCTCACGTGGAGCTGGCCCCAGGCCCAGGGCCACCCCCAGGCTTCTGGGGCTCAGGCTCAGCCTTCTCATGGCCCAGGCCCATCTCAGGGCACTCGGACTGGACGCAGAGGCAGGCGAGGGAGGAGGGCCATGGGGACAGCACTGCCATGTGGTGCCTTGGTGACTTACGTTGCTGTCATAGATGGACATCCCAGGTGGGCCAGGGGGACCTGGAGGTCCTGGGGGCCCAGGCATTCCCTGTGGGGGACAGAGAGCTCTGGTCAGGCAGGGTCCCAGCCAGACCACCAACAGTGGCCAGGAAAACCACATCAACCCTGGTCACAGGCGCCCGGGGACAAGGACAGCCACGTTTCCAAACGGTGGCCTAGGCTGTGACCAACCAGGCCTCAGAGAGAACCTGGCCTCAGTGGTGGCCACCGCAGAGGGACAGTGGTAAGAGGAAGGAAATGTCCCTGCTGGCTGGACTGTGTCAACCGGGCACCACCGTGGGGAAACCACACGGATCCTGTGCTGTGGGCTCCGAATACACGTGTGCACGTGACAGAGTGTGTGCGCACACAGGTGAGCATGTGCGGCAGTGTGCACGTGAGCACCCCTGTGTGCCTAGCATTGCGAGTTCACAGGGGCCACATGAGTGGGGCCTGCAGGTCACAGCCAGGCCGCCCCAGTCCCCGGCCCCTGCCCACGCCTGCAGGACACTCACCCTCACGCCAAAACCGAGGCTGGCGTCTCCGGGCTCCCCCTTCTCACCCTTCAGTCCGTTCATCCCGGGGCGACCCTGGGCAGAGCATGGGAGCCTAGGTTCGCCCCAATTCAGGCAGGGCTGTCCCTTGGGCACCCCTGCCTGCCCTCGGGGGACCCCTTGCGACTCTCCCCCTCCCTCTTGCCACAGGACCTGGGGAGGGGTGCTCAGCGCTCTCCCACCTTGGGCCCCCTGGCCCAGGACAAGGCTCAGACACCTCTGGCCACATGGGACGAAAGCTGTTCAGGCAAGGGTGCTGGAGGGACGCTGGGGCCCGGCCCTTCCCCGCCAGGCCCAGCAGAGCCCTGGTGCTCACCGGCCGTCCAGGAAAGCCGATCTCTCCCTTGTGCCCAGGCCGCCCGTATGGCCCCTGTGGGAGGGAAGGGGTGCTGAGGGGCTACGAGGTGAAGGTGAAGGTGGGGACCCTCTCCCCAACTTGGGCTCTGGTGAGGCAGGGCTCAGGGAGCCGGGGTCGGTGCAGAGCGGACCTACTCACCGGGGGTCCACGGAAGCCCGGCTCTCCCTGTGCAGAAATGAGAGCACTTTAGGGGCCAGCATCTCTGGGGTCCTCCTGCCCAGGGCCTGGCCGCACGTGTTGGGCAGGGGCAGGTGACAGGGGTCTTGAGCAGCCTGTGGTGGGGTCCCCAGCCCAACTCAGATGTAAAGCTGGGTGTGGGGGCATGGAGACGCAGCCTTTGTGGCCTTCCTCAGGTCCTGGGGCTCGGGGTTCCCTCACACAGACCTGCAGGGGCCTGTCCCCAGGGCCACCAGACCCCCAGCCCGCTCACCTTGGCTCCCTTCTGCACGGGGCCCAGGGCTCTGCCGTCAGGGCTGAAGATGCCACCCGGCTCTCCTTTCTCACCCTGGAACAGGACGTTGGTGGTGGTCAGGGCCCCCGAGGGTGCCACTGGCCAGGGGAGGACACAGCAGGACACGAGGAGTCAGCCATGTGTGGTCAGGGCCTGTCCCTTGGGTCACAAAGGGGCGCAGCCGATACGAGTCCTCTGGGCACCCAGCCCTCACCTTGGGCCCCGGGGAGCCCAGCGCGCCTTTGGAGCCCTCGTCGCCCTTTGGCCCGGCGGGTCCCTGGGGTAGAGACCAGATGGGAATGAGAGGTCGAGCCCGTCCCTGCCAGCAGCACCGCCCACTCCTGTCTCGGTGTCCTTCACACGGGACCATCTGACCTGGGCCCCAGGGTGTGCCTACTTACAGGGAAGCCCGCGAAGCCCGGCCTGCCCTGTGGAGAGAGGGATGGCCTCAGCACGGGGACCTGGGGACGGCTCCGGCCCAGCGCTCCCTGCAGCTGTACCTACCTCGGGGCCCGGTACACTGGCCAGCGCTCGCTGTCCGTTGGCAGAAAGCAAGAACCAGAAAGAGAAAGGAGGCACCTCTGAGATCAGACCAGCTCCGGCCAGTGATGCCAGCGCAGAGTGGGGTCCTCCTCCCACGGCATCCCCGGGCTTGGACTGAAGGGCTGCAGAGCCAGCACAGCCACTCTGGGGCCCCAGCACCTGGTGCGTGGACCAGGACAAGGTCCCCAAGTCCACCTCACGCCTCACATCCTGCCAGAGGCCCTGCCTACCTGGCTGTCCAGAGGGGCCGGCCCACACCACTTGGATTGAGTCCAAGGCCTTGACGTGGCACTAGCCCCATCTCTTTATGTTTTTATTTTGAGACAGGGATGTAACAAGTTACTAAATTGCCCAGGCTGGGTCCAAACTTGCAGTCATCCTGCCTCGGCCTCACAGAGCGCTGGGATTCCAGGTATGCACCAGGGTGCCTGGTTTCTCCTGCCAGCTTCTCAGGCCTCTCCGCCTGTGGGCATGACAGCCCCAGCCAGGCATGCCTGACCGTTCACACCCTTCAGCCCAACCTGTCCCAGGACTACCGTGCCCATCATCTGAAAAATGAAAAAGGACACTGAGCATAGAGAGGGTGGGTAACAGGTCTGGAGGTGCACAGCAGACAGTGCTGGGACTGTGCCCGGGTGGCACCAGGCCCCGCTCCTGCCCTAGCCGGGCAGCCCCTTCCAGGGCCAGGTGTGGGGATCCAAGCTGCAGCTGCCACGGGTGCCCAGGGACTGAGGGATGCAACAGGGGCAGGCTGCGCACACGGCCTCGCAGACCCAGCTCCATGGTCCCCAGCACAGTAGGCCCAGGCCACACCCTCGGGGACCCAGTGAACCCTTACATCCTGCTCGGACACATAGACCACAGCTCCCGGGGGTCCTGGGGGCCCAGGCAGGCCAGGATGCCCCACACCATCCTTTCCAGGGTCGCCCTGCAAGAGAAGTTGTATCTGCTTGGAGCCCGCTTGGGCCAGGTCCCCATGTCAGCCTGGTCTGGGGTGGGGAGTGCAGCGGGGACCCTGACTTCCCTCTGCTCCCAGCCCTTGGGGACACTCACTTTTTCTCCCCGGCTCCCCTTCTCGCCTTTTGGTCCCTGCAGAGACGGAAGGAAATGGCCCATCATACACAGAAGTGGGCAGGGATGGAGGGATCTTTGCTCTGGGCCAACACCAGTCCTGGGCCGAAACTTGAACTCGGCCCCTTGGGCACGGGCAATGGTTAGGGGCCCCGGGTTGACCCAGTGCCTGCTCTCGGTCAGGTCCTGTCGAGAGCCTTGTCCCGCCCTGAGCCGGCTGTGCTGCTCACTCACCGTGGGCCCAGCTGAGCCCTCGCTGCCCGGGAGGCCAGGGAAGCCTTGAGCTCCATCCGCTCCGACTTCTCCCTGGGAAGACAGCACGGTCAGCGCATCACTGCACGGCCAGGGGCGGAGCCCCCGACTCTGCCCTGAAGGGTGACTGTCACCCCAGGCTGAGGAGCACCGGCACCAGACATTTCATGGTGCCCACGCGAGCCGCCCCCGTGAAAACCCCAGGGTCCAGGGACAGAAGTGCTGCAGGTGGGAGCCCGGGTCAGATGAGAAGGAACCAGAAGGAGGGATGGTGGGGTGGTGGCGACAGACGGGGCTGAGGCCTGCCGTGTCCCGCATACGCTGGCTGAAATGCAGAGGGACTGACGGGTCTTACCTTGTCTCCAGGAGGCCCAGGCAGGCCGGGATCCCCCTGCGTGGACAAAGGGCTTTGTGAGTGTGGAGCAGGGGCCATCCCCTCTTCCACACAGGAAGTGGGGTCTGTGAGCAGGGGTCACCACCCCAACAGCACATGGTGGCTGCCCTGGACCGCACGTCACATAGCAACTCCAGAGAAACCCCCCAGGTGTGGGGCAGGCCTGGTGGACGGTGACACCCTGACCAGCTCCCTCTGAGAGGCGGCTGCGGCCCAGGGCCAGGGGAGAAGGGGACCACAAGGACAGGACCCAGAGAGGACGCAGGCTGCCGCCTTCTGGGGGTCCTTCCCTGGGAGCCTGGGCAGAGGTGGGGCTCCTGAACCAACCCAGGGATCCCAGGACAAAGCCCCAGGTCCTCCAGGGTCTGCATCCTACGGACCCCAAGCCTGGAGTCCAGGGGGCTGCAAGTCCTTCCTAGGGCTCCTTTTACACAGATGCCTGAAACCGGAGCTCTGGGGAGAAGATGCGCTGGCGAGGGCCCTGGGCTGGGACACTGGTTATTTTCCAGTCAGGGGTTCCCACGCTGGTCTCCCCACTGCTCCTGAGCAGAGCCCCCCACCCCCCGCAGCATAGCCGGACTCATCCGCTGACGACGAGGGCTGACCTTGAGTCCGGGCAGGCCTGGTGGTCCCTGTGGGCAGAGGACACAGGGTTCAGTGTCCCCTCCCCACAACCCTCCCACATCCCCACTCTGTCACAGGGGACAGCAGTCCCACCAGCGTCTGTGTGTGGACAACTCAAGCCTGGCCTTGGGAAGGTGCAGCCCACCCTGGATCCCACAGGAGGGTCAGAGGTCAGGAGCTGTGTTGCACACCCGGGCCACTTCACTAACACACAAGCATACCTCAGTGACCGCACATGTGGCCGTCTGCCGGCCCAGCCTCTCTGGGACACTCGGCCACCAAGAGCCTGCGCCCTGGCCACGCCCACCTCCCCACCAGAGGTGGCCGGCACCTGTGGGCCACCAGGAAGCTTTCAACCACGTAAAAGAAAACTCCAAGTTACAGCGGTGAGAATACCCGAGGGCTGTTTCTGCCCCATAAAAACACCTCTTTAACTTCGCTCAGAACAAGCAGTCTGAACCTGTCCTCACCCTCAGGCCGAGCCCTGGGCCCAAGTGTGCACTGGGGCTGGGTTCCGTGTGTGTCCTGGGCAGGGCAGTGCCCGCAGCTCTGAGGGGAGCAGGGGCCAGGGGATGGGGTGCTGGGACCCAGCAATGGCATGGGGAGGCCCAGCAGCCCCCGTGCAGCTCTCGACCAAGCTCAGGACACTTTGGGATCAGATTCCTTCTTACTGACCCTGACCCTGAGCAGGGCCTGGGTTCTAGGTGGGGCCCTGGACAAATGCCCACTTCTAACTCAGATTCTGCGTAGACCAAGTGTTGGCTACTTCCCCAAGTCAGAGCCACAGGGAGACTTCCACGTCCCGCCTCCTGTAAAGACCTGTCCTGCAGGCCGCGTGTCCCGGGCCCACTGACCCCGAGCACCGAGTATAGGGCCCTCAGCTCCCAGCCCATGTGTCCACAGAGGACGGTGGCGCTGCTGCCCACTAGCGGCTTCCCTCCCAGGCTGGAGGCCGTACCTGCAGCCCTGAGGAGTCTCTGGCTGTCGACCAGAAGGGGGCTCCGGAGCCTTCCATGTCATCCTGGAGGGACACAGGGACGTTGGTCTGTGTCCCTGCCTGAAGGAGGGGCTCCACCCCGGGGTCCAGGGGAGCAGAGGATGTGTGGGGATGGGGAGGATGACGGACGGGGCTGAGGCAGGGGGTCCACACGGGGCCCCGCAGCGCCTCTGTGTGTCCAGCCACCAGGTCTCATAGCTGGGATCCCATGGAAACAGAAGCCCTGGCCGGGGCACAGCAGCCACTGGCACAGGGCCGGAAGCGGCCTGGTTGAGGGGCTGTGGCGCAGGCCAGGCTTCCAGGGGCCTGAGCTATTGCCACTCACAAATCCTGCAGCAAGTCCTGGTCCGGGGGGTCCAGGAGGTCCTGGGGGTCCTGGGGGTCCAATGGGCCCGGGGGCTCCTACAAAGCCAGTCTTCCCGGGAGCACCTGCGGGGCCTGGGTCTCCTTGGCTGCCCTGTAGGGTGGAGAAACAAAGTCACCGCCTCTGCCCCAGGTTAGCTAAAGCCAAGCCACAGCATTTTTCTTTTCCTTTTTGTGGGGTGGCGGGGTGTACCGGGAATCGAACTCCAGTCCTCGTGCTTGCAAGGCAAGCAGTGGAACCACTGAGCTAAATCCCCGGCCCAAGCCACAGCATTTTCTGAGGGAAATGCCAACACCTGCAATCCAAAGGAAGCCACTAGCAATGAACGGCCCCTCCAGTGCTGTCCTCCACGGGTCCCGTCCCCAGCAGGCCCAGGGCCGCCCAGGACCCACTGGCCAGGTCAGGTGAGCCATGTGGCAGGTAGGCCGTGGCCTAGGCCGCAGGCCAGTCCCGAGGGAAGCCTGGACCAAGGGAGGATGGGCAGAAGGCCTGCAGCCACTAGGGCAAGGGTGGGCCCCAAGCGCCCCAGGTGTGGAGAGGTGCTGCTCTCAGGGCAGGGGCCCTTGCAGTCTCACGGCTCAGGGACACCTCGTGCCTCCTCCACTAGCGGCCCGGAGGACACGACTGCCCAGGACAGATGCCGAGTGCTCCCTGGTACCACTTAGCAGGATGGACAGGGCTGGGGCATGGACAAGAGCTCGCTGACTGGCAGCCCTGGTCCCTATGGGACACTTCCCACCACGCGTGAAGAGGGGGCAGGACAGTGCCAGGCATTTGTACCTTGGGTCCAGGGGCGCCCGCATCTCCCTGCGGAAAGAGCAGTTTTACAGTGAAGTCAGACCAGCAGACAGTGAGAAAGCAAGTGGCCCCTCCCCAGCTGCCCTCTGACAGGGCCACTGAGCATCTGGTTGAGTCCTTCCCGCTCATCCATGGACAGAACTCCAGGTTAGTGCTTGGCCCCTGCCTCCTGGAGAGCAGAGTGCTTACAGGACACCCACTTTGCTTGGCCCTCTGGGGAGGCTCCTCTGCTGGTCACGGAGCACCACAGGCCATGGGCCCACCACACGGGCCCCTCATGTCACTCACAGAAGCCTGCCCGAAACCACGGCCTGCATGCCCCACAGAGCCCCTCTCTCCACGCTGGAACACTGCTGCCTCGTGGAAGTGTCCTCCTTACTCTTACGCGCCGCTGTCTGTCCAGTCAGCAAGGCCAAGGCCCAGCTGGAGGAAGCCCTGACTTCCACCCAAGCCCACAGCTGCTACCCGGAGTCTTCCCACACCTCCACCTTGGGTTGCATCTCCCTCATGGGGTCCCTCCAGACAGCCTGGTGCGCCCCGCTCTGGGCACGCAGTGTGCCTGGGTCAACTCTGCCCTGACAGCAGGAGGGACTTACAGGGCTGCCTTTCTGGCCCGCTTTTCCTGGAGGACCCTCTTTCCCTGGGGGTCCTGGGTGTCCCTGTGAGAGAAGAGCAGAGTGAGGGTCTGGGGGATCCACACTGAAGCCCAGGGCAGGAGAAATCCCTCAGACGAAGTCCCCACAGGCAGGAAACGGACATGGGGCAGGACCACAGCACTGAGAGCTGGTCCTTATCTGTTTCCTTCACGTCCCGGAGGACAAGGGCCAGAGGTCGGTTTCCCTAACTTGGAGGCCGCCGCCTGCACAAAGGGAGTGAAAACCAGGCTGTGCTGCCCCCAGCAGTGGGTACACCAAGGGCACCGCAGGGCTCGCATGTGGTCAGATGGGCAGGAGTGGAGCCTGGCTCTCCCACCCCACCCACGAGGGTCATTCCCACTGGGGCCACGGAACACAGGGTGGCCCAGATATGAGAGGTGCCCACTGCAGGGCCGCAGACTCACCGGGGAGCCAGGGAACCCGGGGGACCCGTCCTGCCCAGGCACGCCAGGGAGGCCTGGGGGTCCTGGAACGTGGGAGCTGTTCACCCCAAAGCGGCCAGGCTCCCCAGGCAGGCCTGGGACTCCAGGGGGACCAGGGGGGCCGGGGAAGCCTCGCGGGCCCTGGACGGAGACACATGGTGAGTGCCAGCCCGCACAGATAACCCTACCTCCCAGCCACCCAACCCCACAAACTTGAGATGGGGCTGCAGCTACTCACCCTGAAGGTCTCCAGGTCGCCGCTGAAGCCAGACCCCTCCATGTCGATGAAGGTCTGAGGGAGTGGAGAGAGGTCACCAGGCCGCCCCGCCTGGCTAGCTCTGCCCTCAGATTGCCCAAGAGATCAGGAGAGGCTGAGAGAAGCAGCACACCCCACTGCTGAGAGGGTCCCCAGCCCACCAGCCCCACAGCCACAGGAGCCGCACGTGCAGGGCCAGGGTGGACTCACCAGCTTGTCATGCCTGAAGGGCGGTCCTGGTGGCCCTTGGGGCCCTGGGGGTCCTCTTGGCCCAACCCCCGGGTCTCCCTGGGATAGAGAAGCCCATCATAGAGGCTGTAGGGCCCCGGCTTGGGCTGGGTGTGAGGGGCACCCCAGCCCAGGCTCACTCACCTTCTCACCCTTGGGGCCCACGTCCCCCGGGGTCCCCGGAAAGCCCTGTGGCCCAGCGGCCCCCTAGAAGACAAGGACAGGGCTGGTGGTGGAGGGCGGTGCTGTCCCCAGGGCCTCTGTACCCTGACCTCAGAGCGGAGGTGAATGGCGGAGCCCCCAAGGGCCATGGAGCCTGGGAGGGGACCCAGCGCAGGGGCCAGGGTGTGAGGGCGACACCGCAGCTCTTAGAGGCAGCGTGACCACCGCGGAAGCAGAGTGGCGGCCACTTCTCAGACGGCACCACGGGGATGGCAGCTCGCGAGCGTGCATGCGTGTGTGCGTGCGAACGGGCGGCACACTGGCTTGGGTGTTCCTGAGCAGCCCGGCCTGCACCCCATTAATCCCGCCCAGGCCTGGCTCTCTGGAGGCAGAGTCTAGCCCCACCTTGGCCTGTGTCCACCCCGTCTCCTGGACGCAGTGTCTTCTGTTCCCAAACCCAGCTGCAAGTGGAGCAGAAACTCAAGTGCCCTCTTTTCTTCCCTCCCTCTCCTCCTCTTTGCCACGCATCCCCCTCAGGGGACCTGGGAGGCACACAGGCCCTCTCTCTTCCTTTGCTCCCTGGCAGTATCCTGGCCCTCATGCCCTGCGCGTAGCTGTCTCTCCCTAGCAGCTGGGATGTTCTTAAACGGGTGAAGCCACGCTGGGGACCATGTGGCAGACACAGACTCACAGGCCCCACCCACCAAGTGGTGCAAAGAAAAGCAAACTCACTGGTCTTCCGTCCTCGCCAGGGTCCCCCTGTAATGTGCCGGAAGAGGCTATTAATGACGGGTCAGGCCACCAAGACCCAAGGGGACCCACCGAGCCCCTAGCCTGCACTGAAAGCTGCACCCGTGGGAACCGCCTGGTTACTGCGCAGGTGGCTGCACTGGGTCTGGGGCCCCCAAGCTTCGCTGTGGCACTGTCCCCCCGTCACGGGACCACGTCGCGGGGACAACTCACCGGCTCGCCATCCCTGCCCGGAGCACCGTCCTTCCCTGGGGGTCCGGGGACAGGGTGTGCACCAGGGCCGTGCATCACGGAGCCTGTGGGGCCCTGGGGCCCGACTGGGCCAGGTGGCCCCCGAGCTCCTGGCTCCCCCTTCTGCCCCTTCAGGCCTCCCTAGTGTCAAAGGGGACAGGAGGGCACGGGCTGCAGTGCCCACACGTCCCCCTGCTGTTGCGGCTGCCCTGCCCAAGTGCTGGGCAGGACACTGGTCACAGAGAGAACGTGTGGCAGGGCGGGAAGAGGACCCAGGCCCCAGGGCTCCAGACAGGGAGGGGAGGCGCCTCACCTTCCCCTGGCCACTCCCTGGGCTCCAGGCACTCTCGTCCCATGCGTCCTCTGAACCTGGGCCAGGAAGGGTCTTAGCTGGGGAGGAGAAGCAGCTGCTATCAGACCTGTGGCCCTGGCCTCCACTGTCCCCCAGGGGTGACTTCCTGGTGCCTCGGGGCTGGGAGAGAGAGGAGGGGCACACAGCCAGCCACAAGGAAGAGAACCAGAGCTGGCCTGGAGCCCTTGGCCATCCTAAGCCACGCCCACAACAGCACAGAACTTCCAGAAGATTCCTCTGGGTCCATTGCAACAAGAAATGTCAGCATTTGTCGCTTCCTCCCGGCAGACAGTGAAAACCAGCAGAAACGAACCCCACCGCCTCCACGTGGATTGGTCACCGCCCCACACACCTCCTCCCTCTCCTCCGACACACACTTGCCTGCGTGCACACAGACTTGCACATGCATCCCTCCCCTGTGCCCGCCCTGCACGGTGGCCCACAGGAGGATGTGGGGATGCCCTCTGCCAACTGGGGCCACATCTGATGTGCCACGCGTATGTCCCCTACAGCGGCACACGGGCTCCCTTGGCCCGGGTGTCCCGGCGTCTGAGGACGATGGAGCATCGCTGAGTGCCAAGGCTGCCAGCAGCCCCGCCTGCCTGGGCAGCCAGAGCGGTGTGCTCTGTTCAGGTTTGTAAGAACAAGGAGAGCCCGCGACAGCTGGAGCCACAGAGGACAGGCCACGGGGCCACTGCCAGCCCCGCCTGGTCCCTGCTGGGTCCCTGTTCTGCTGGGTCAGAGCTCAGACGGGTTGGCCCTACCCCGCCCCACCAGAGCCGCCCATGAAGAGCAGGTGGTGGGGCCGGCGCTGGACGTGGCTGCCGCAGCCTCCTGCCCAGCAGGAAACAGGATGGTACCAAGCTGGACATCATTTCCTGGGGGCTAAAGCTGTCCCATTTCTGGTGCCTTTGGGGAGCCTCAGCCTCCAGCCGGATGCAGAGCTGACTGCAAGTCTGGCCAGATGTGGGGACCAACCGGCCATGGGGGGGTCACCCGGTGGGCGGCACTAGCAGCCTTCCAGGTACTCACCAGTCCTCACAGCTGCGGATGCCAGTGCCATTACTGGACTGAGAATCTAGAGCCGTGTCCAGCCACACGCCGGCCCTGAGCCTACACCGCTCAACCCGACTGACTGCCCGCCTGTGACTGTGGAGCCCAGAGCCTGACGGCCGCAGCACCTGCTGGGATCTTGGGCCTGGGGCTCTGCTGCTTGAGGTCTTGGCCACCAGGGGGAAGCAAAGGCCCTTCCCAAGTGCTACAAGGCTGGAGACTAAGCAATAAGGACGAATATAAAACCCCTGCCTGGGGGTGTTTAAAGCTGGGAAAACATCACCAAAGGAAATCAAAGAAGACCTAGGAGAAGAGTCAAAACATTCAGGGTGTCAACACTAACAAATCTTTTTTTTTTTTTTTTGGTACTGGGGATTGCAAGGCAGGTAGCAGAACCACTAAGCTAAATCCCCAGCCCACTAACAAATCTTTTGATCAAAGGTTCAGCTAGGTTTTTAAGTCTTTCTTATTTTTTGTGGACCTTGACAACCTGATTCCAAAACTCCTGTGGACATGCCAAGGGCCTAGGGCACCAAGGCGAAGGAAGTATGGGGATAGGTCCTGCCGAACATCAAGACTTGCTCGGAGCAACAGGATCCAGGCAGTGGGATGCTGCAGCGCAGAGGGACAGGTCAGTCCCCGGCAGGACAGAGTCACCGACTGATCAACTTGGGGCAAACACTATGTTAGTTCCCGCTAATAGCATGGAGAGCTGGGTCAGGGTGAGCAGGAAGAGACAATCACCCCAGGGCTATACCGTCTCCCCACAGAATGACTCAAATTGCATCACAGACTGAGGTCTTGTTGCTGGGGGTTCTCAGACCTGACACCAAACTCAGCATCTGTACAGAATTGCTCAAGACTAAAACACTCGCAGGGTGTTGGATGACTCCGGTCACCAGGGAAAGACCCAGGGAGGAGGGCTGGGGCCAGGCCCACGGAGAGGAGAGAAGAGACTGGGCGGCACCAACAGCTCCTTGGCCGCCCCTGGGAGCGCGAGGCGGGCACCTCCAGGCCAGCGGCGACCTGACTGGCCGTCCGCAGCACAGGCTCCTCCTCAGTGAGAAAGTGGATGGACCGGACCCTGCCCAGCTGGCGGCATCCCAAGCAAAGCCCACGCCCAGGCGACAGCAAGTGGGTGGGCATGGTGAGGGCTGTGAAGGCCCGAGGACCCCGGAACGACCCACAGCCACCGGCACCGCTGTGGGGATGGCTTCATGGTCAGAGCCGACGGTGCAGACAGCAGAACAGACCAAGCCGAGAGCCATCTGGGCCCCCAGGTCACAGGTGGGCGAGGCCAGGCAGAGCCGACCTCTGGGCCCACAAAGCCCCTGCTCCTCCTCATGCCCGGCCAGCTGGCTGACGGGGTAGACGCCTCAGGAGGCGGGTATGACGCAGAGCTGGTTCTGCCACCAGCCTGAAGGAGCCGCGCCTCTCCCCAGCGCTGCCACGGGAAGGCTGCGTGGCCAAGACGCAGACCCCGCTGCTCCAGCCCAGCCCCCTCCACGAGGTCATCCCCCTCAGTGCTGCCCCATGTCACCCTCCGCCTGGGCCCCTGGGTGCCCTCCTGGGATCCCGCTGGCCCCAGACAAGGTGGCATCTGTATGCCCCTGTGGCTCTAGCTACAACAGAGGACTTGAGACACAGGAGAAACTGGACCCCAGCAGCCATGAATGAAGGAGACTTCGGGGCCACCCGGAGCTGTGACCCGTGACCGGCTGCGACCTGCTGTGCAAGAGGGCCAGAGGCAGCCCGCCCCACCCCCACTCACGCCTCACACACAAGGACATGAACCACATGTCTGCATCACACACACACACCTGAAAGAGCTTCACGCCCGGGTGAGGTTGCTGTGGTCTGCTCCTGGACCTCCTCTGTCCTGGCTTCTTCCACACTGCTGCCTCTGGCCAGAGGAGGAGGAGTCACAGGTGGAGGCAGGGGGAGGCCGGGCATCTGGGTCACAGCCTGCAGGAGGGCAGGAAATGGCCCCACCACTCAGGGACCATGGGTGACCTGCAGCGGCATCTGTCGAGCTCTGATGACCGCATTTGCAAAGTGAAATATTTACAGGTTTTCAGAAAGATAAGGAGCAGCTGTCGCTTTAGTTGGAAAGGCATTCTAGGCCTCCATGGCGATATCTGCTTGAGTTTTCTCCAGCCTGCGGGACGGACGGCATCACACCTGGCAGGACCCTGTCCCCAAGCCTGAGCTGTGAGGCTGGGATGGGTCATCAGGTGGCTTCCTGTGGCTGGCATCACAGACGCCAAGGAGCAGCTGTGTCCCCACAGTGGGCCCCAGCCTGCGGCCCCAGCACACCCAGCTCAGACTTGACTTCTGGGAGTGGAGGAGCCGGCTGCTCTGCAGACCCCACCTGGTGGTCAGGGGCCTTCATGTGGCACCCATGTGGGCTGGGCTCTGGCTGACATGATTTTTCAGTGATGACCCTGTTCAGGGGGTACAGAGGAGCAGGGCCTGGCCGAGGCCACCCCAAACACTGCGACACCGGGTGGTGTGGGGACCTGAGCTCACAGCTCACGGCTCCTGTGTGCTTTCCTGGCCGGCCACACATCTGGGGGCCAGGGCCTGGCGTGGGGTGGGCAGAGGCGGGATGGGCACAGTAGCCCTGGGTCTGCAGGGCGGCTGCCCAGACAGCACTGGCACCGTCTGGGCACTGGAGTCCCAAGCCCACCTGTCCCCCGTGGCCACTCACAGGCTCTAGGGCAAGTGAAGGCCAAGGCTGCCTCAAACTCCAAAGCGATGTGGGAACCAGGAACCCAGCCTCTCTGGGGTGTTCACCAGCCCAGGCTGAGGAGTAGCAGCGGAAAGGAGCTGCCCAGCACCACTGCCACGTCCAGGGAGGAATTTACCTTCACAGCACAGAGGAGCCCCACAGAGGCACACCCCCTGCCCACATACCTCGTCCTCCCTGTGAAGCTCTGGGGTCTCTTCCAGGCCACTGCCAAAGTCTCCGGATGCCTGTGGGAGGGGAGAGGAGGGAGACCTGAGCACAGCCACTGACCCCACAGGGCCTCACGCTGATGTCTGCTGTGCGCCATCGGGTCAGGCAGAGCGGCCCTGGCTGAGACCCCAGGACACACGGCTGCACCCGCCATGAGTCCTGGGCGCTGTCCTGGGAGAAGTACAGATGGCTCCTGGCACCAAGGAGGCCCACTGTGGGGGCTCTGTCCTGAGGCTGCCTGGGCCGGACAGGGCACTTCCTGCACACATGCCAGAGACACACACACTGCACGCTAGCAACACACAGCACAGGAGACACGCACACTTTGAGCTTCTCCCATGCAGTCTCACCCTGCAGCTCTCAGGGTGGCCCCTCACCTTCACTCTCCATTCTGTAGCTCTAAGTGCAAGTTCAAGGCAAGGGAAGACCCTGTCTGTGGCCACCAAATCCTCAGCACCGAGGTGGCATCCCGGAGACCTGTGCTGGCCGTCACTCGGGACTTGGCCTCCCAGGCCCCCGTCCCACAGCCCAGCACCACTCACCCTGGCTTCATCCTCGTCCTCGTCGTCCAAGCAGTGCACAGGGCTCACCCGGGGGTCCCCACGCACCCACAGCTCCGCAATTGCCCCCTAGAAGAGGGAGCGGGGTCACTGGGACTCCTGATGGCCTGACCCACACCCGTCCAGCAGTGGAGGTGGGCAGCGGCTGAGGACACCGGTGCCCTGCCAGTCAGCCCTCCCCGTGTGAGGCTGGCTGCCCCGAGGGAGGACACACAGGTCCCCTGGGTATAAGCCAGGCTGCCCACCTGCTGCTCCGCACACACTTGGCCGACACCCTTGAACACAGTGGGGGCGAGGCCAGGTCTGGTTGAGGAGCTGCACCTCGTATGCCCCTGAGTGTCAGTTCTGGGACTCATGGTGAGGAATGGTGAGGCCATGGCTGAGTACACAGGTCTCCGACTGTCCCAGAGACCACAGCACCCAGAGGATGTGGGAGAGCACGTGTGCATACACATGTGGGTGTGTGTGATCATGTGAGTGCATATGATGAGGCTGGACAGTACGCATCACATGTGAGCATGTGTGATCCCGTCGGAGAGCATATGGTCATCCATGCACACGCGTGATCATGGAGCTGTGGTCCTGTGTGCACGTGTGTGATCATGGGGTCCTGTGTTGTTGGAGAGTGTGTGCTCCTGTGTGCACCTATGTGATTCTCTGTTAGAGACCACATGGTCATGCATGGACATGTGTGATCATGGTAGAGAGAGAGCGAGTGTCTTGTGTGTACCTGCATGATTCTGTCAGAGAACATATGGTCCTGTGTGCACACGTGTGATCATGTTGCAGTCCTGGTGAATGTGTATAGACGTGCCCATGTGTGCAACGCGGACAGTGTAGGCCCAACACCCCTGGGTGCAGGCTGGGGCAGTGTGGGGGAGGGGCACGCCCTGCAGCCCCCCAGTCCACACCATGGTGTCTCCTGGGAATGGGATCCAGAGCCCCTTAGGCCCCCAGACCTGCAGTGGTGAGTGAGTCACTCTGTTTGAGAACCCCAGGGACAGGAAGGGGCTTCTCGGGGGCCTGGGGCCTGGGGCCTGGGATAGACTCAGTGGCTTAGGCCTGGGCTCCCCAAAGCCATGCACTGTGCCCACAGAGTGCCCCTAACAGACAGCAGTGTGAGCCCCAGGACTGCCGGCGCCATAAGCAAGCAGGAGCCAGATAGGCAGAACCGTGTGCCTGCCGACACTGAGGTCACCCCTGGTGGAGGTCTCTCCTGGTGATGCTTGGCAGGGACAGCGCCAGCCTGCAAAGCCATGGGGCCCACTGCACATATGTGCCAGGCTCAGAGCCCGGGACACTGGCAGCCCAGGACACAGAGACTTCAGGAGCGAGGCTCAGGGCCACCCACATGCATGTGTGACAAAGCAGAACCCACTTGGAAGGCCGTGCCGTGTGGCTGGCGCTGCCTCCACCTCCCTCTGACCGCGTGTTCTGTGTTGGGGACCCACAGCCCGCTGTGCCAGGGGGATGGGACGCCTTCCCCTTGCCCCTGGCGGCCTCCTATGCAGTGGCCCTGAGTGCTCACCGTCAGATAAGCCCCTGGCTGGGCTGTCCCCAACCTTTCTCATGAAGGTAGCTTTTCCACGGACAGGGCAGGAGCTGGTTTCAGGGTGATTCAGGTGCGTTACACTTATTGTTTCTATCATTATTACACCATGTACTTTACCTCTACGACTACTACACCGTGTGCTTCACTTGTTATTATTATTGCTCTGTGCACTCTGTTTCCATCACTGCTGCATTAGGTTCTCATCAGGAGCATGGACCCCTTGCAGGCCATTTGACAGGCAGCAGAGCTCGGGTGCTGCAGTGACAGGAGTGGCTGTGAAGACCCAGGAAGGTCCCCACCCGCTGCTAACCTCCTGCCATACAGCCTGGCTCCTGACCGGCCACAGATCCGCACCGGTCCGCAGCCTGGGGCTGGGTTCCCTGCTTTAGACCACGGGACGGGATGGGCCACCCGACCCAACCTTCAACTTCAGACTGCAGTCAGAGGTCACAGGTGACCTCTCCAGGCCAGATCTCGCCACACAGACCCTTCGAACATCACAGCAGTCTTTCAAAAAGCAAAAGGGCAAATGTTGGACTGGGAAGTAAAATTGGCAGTACACAAAACCAAGGCTCTTCTTTTTCATCTATAAAGATTGCATAAAACCAGTAAGAAGTGGCCAAGCCTGCCTCCCGATGCAAGAGCACAAACAGGTCAGTGACAGAAGACAAACGGCAGAAGAACAAATGGCCAATGTGTGGGCTGGGGCAACGTCTGTGCCCACCGACAACAGCCAAGAGAGGCAAGTGGAAAGGCGCCGCTGCCTCCATTGGGCAGGCCACCTCTGGAGGTATCTCTGACCCGCCGTCCATCAGCCCCGCGGGCCGCAGCAGGCGCCCACGGCCTGAGCCCTGCACGGCATGCGTGGACATGCCACTCCTTCCAGAAATGCCCGGGAGGCCCACCACAGGCCACCCCTTGCTAGACGGGAGGATTGTCGTTCCCGTGACTCATGTTTGAGGGTCAAAAGGAAACACAAAGGGACCCAGCTTGATGCCAAAGTCCCAGGGCTCCTGAACGTTCAGTTAGAAAGTTCCCGTCAAGGGAAAAGGGTCAGTGCCCAGGATTCTGGCACACCAGGATTTAGGACAACTTCAGACAAACAGCCCTTGTCAAGGCCACAATCAGCTCTCTGTCCCCAGGGACACACTGGGACCTGTCTGGACCAGGCAAGGGTGACCCCGCTGCAGACCAGCCAGAGCCCTGGCACTTGGGCTGGTCAGTGCCACAAAGGGCACTCATGTGAGAGTGAGGGGCTCCCGGGAGAGCCCCACCAGCTCTGGGAGAGACCCAGCGGGCTGGGGAACAAAGGCCCTGGGGAAAGTCCCTGGGGTCACAGGACACAGTCACTCAGTGGCACCTCTGGGAAGCCCTGCCCACACTGCTCTGGGCAGGTCACAAGGCCCTCGGGTTGGGAGAAGGCTCTAGGAGTAACCTTCGGTGGAGGCCAGCCAGCTGCACCAGGTGTGCCATTCACGGGCGACCTCTGCCCCTCCTGGGCATGCAAACTCTCCTCCAGGTGTGCAACTTCTACCCTCACAAGTGTGCAATGCCTACAGAGGCACCCTCTAGTTCAGGGCCTGCTGCTGCCAGCTTCAGGAAGTTAATCATTTTTAACAAGGCTTCAGGCTTGATTGTAGAGACCAAGGCACTGGGCCCCACTCACAACCCAGACCTGGATCATCCACCCCACCTGCCACAGCCCCAGGACACATCTAGGAGGGGCCCTTGTGGGCTCGGCCCTGGGGTCTCAGAGAAATCTCAGGTCAGAAAGCCAGGGGTAAAAACACCCCGTTGCAAGGAGGACTCAGGACCAGGAGGCCAGGTTGGCCGCCAGAGGCAGGGGATCCACCCCCAGGCTGCACCAAGCAGCAGCAGCTGCCACCCAGTCTCCAGTGGCTGCCCCATCCCACCCAGCCACTTGCCACAGCAGGCCTACCTGGAACTTGTCAGGGTCTGCTCCTCCAGCCTGGCCCACGAAGACGCCAGCACCAGGCTCCAGCTCCAGGCGCCCCAGGGACCGAGTGAATGGCAGCCTCTGGAACTCCTCGCAGTCGACGTAGAGTGCCACAGAGCCAGCGTCCACGCTGAGTGCGAAGTGGGTCCATTGGCCCACGAAGGCAGGCAGGCGGAAGCTGGCAGCTGTGCGGGTCTGGCCGGCGCCTGGCTCCGAGTAGAGCAGCGAGATGTTCTGGTGCTGGTTCTGCACTCCTGACAGCTTCACACCCAGCACCACGGCTGCCTGCGCTGCATCCGTGATGGCGAACAGCACGCCTGCGCCCTCCGTGTCCGGCCGCACGTGGAATAGCAGCGAGAAGTCTCGGAAGAAGGGGCTGGGCACATGGTACCGGGCCGCCTGGCCGCTGTTGGCATCTGGTCCAAAGACATAGGCCAGCCCGACCTCGGGGTCATCGATGGCTATGATCTGCTGAGGTAGGGGTTCCCCAAGGAGCTGCAGCAGCCCCACCTCCCGGCTGGTGCTCTCTGCAAAGAGAAGGTAGTAGGTGAGGTGGCAGCACCAGGGGAAACCGTGTCAGGGAGGGCGTGTCCACACCCCTCTCTGCTGGTCCTCTGGGCTCTGCCCCCAGTGCCACCAGAGTCAGCCCTGCTCATCCAGCCCCAAGGACCATGAGCTTCCTCAGGGCTGGCGAGGGACACAGCAGGGACACATGGGGAGCAGCGCACCACGGGAGTGAGAGGGACCCTAAGCCCCGAGCACCCTGTGCTTTGCCCATGCTGGGGCAGCCAGGGACAGGGGAGGCACAGGAGCCGCTGCTGCAGGGCCCGAAGGGACATTACGCAGCATCTCACCCCCCGGTGATGTCGGGCTCTGGGAGGTGGCAGCTTTCCCGACCCCTCACTGTGCCACACTGAGGGTGCAGATCCCTCCATGCCAGGGCCACAACACTAGGGGGTGCCAGTGCCAAGGCTCACACCAGCGGCTCCCCAGTCACCATGAGGCCCTCACACCACACCAAGCCCAGAATCCCCATGGAGTCACAGAGTGACGCATACTTGCACATGCGCGAACATACACACACACGCGTGTGTGCGCGTGTACACAGTCATGGTGCTGCATCCCCACCCTCAGATCCTGTCCTTCCCAGTGGGACCCAGGCCACTGAAGGACAAGAGCTGCTGTCCATGATGCCTCCCGGGCTTGCGAGGGCAGAGCCCACCTACATCCTGGGCACAGCCACCACTGGGCACAGGACAGGCAGTGCCACTGCAGGAGACCAGCCCTCAGGGGACCCAGCCTGGACTCTCTCCACGAGTCCTGGCGCCGTCTGCCCACTGCGTTTGACAGTCACATGGGAGGGGACACCTGGCAGAGGGCAGACGCCACCATCACCGCAGTGGAAGTATGATGACAGCCCCTTTGGCCAGAGGTGCCAGCGCCGAGTCCACGGGGGAAGTTCCAGAGTCAGGAAGCAGGGATCCGCTGGCCAGCATGCTAGTGGTGAAGCCACACCCCTTTCCCAGGGCAGTGCGCTCCGATTAACACACACAGGGCCACTGCAGCTGCCACCTCCTGGGCTGGGACCCAGGCACACGCAGCTGGTTCTTCCCAAATTCTCCCATTTCCTTGCCACGAAATTCCTACAGTTCCCAAGAGAGCAGCCCCTGCACGATAGGCCCTAAGGTCATGGATGGCTCTGTGTTACAGAACGGTGACAGCTGAGGTCCCACCTCCCATGCCAGCACTGGCCCAGCTGCCCTGGACAGAAGCCGGGCTCCCTCCACAGGGAGCAGCTGGCTGTGCTCTGGGACCAGGCCGCCGCGAGAACATCTGCTCTGTGACTGCCAGGCCGGGTCCCAGCTCACCAAGCCGCACAGTGACCGTGCAAACCAAGTGGCCCACGGGCCTTGCCACGCCGCTCCCTCCACCCGGCTCAGCTCCAGTGAGGTGACCAGCGTCTTGGGTGCTTCTGTGAAACTGCGCAGGCTCTTAGCACCACTACACACGACACGCTCCCAGGTCCTCCCAAACCTAGAACTCACAACCCACCCAGACCCTGCGGGCACAGACAAAAGCAAGTAAAGGCAAATCGAGAGTGGGAAAGGTTGGGAAGGGGCTGTAATCGCGGGGTGGGGAGAGGAAGCCACGCTGGTCAGAGAGCAAAGAGCAGAGACATAAACAAACAGCACAGCAAGGTGTGTCACTGGGAAAATGTCAAAAACAACAGCAGTAATGGAAACCATCAGGCAAACAGACAAAGCAGGCATTGCGACAGGTGTGCAGATAACCGGGTCCACAGTGACACCACCGTGGGGCAAAGGGTGACGCGTTTCACCTCTTCTGGGCTGACACCAGCCGCGGCCCTGCTGTAACAGCAGAAAACGACAGACTGGAACAGGGACCCTGAACCGGGCAGGGTCTGCAGAACGCAAGAGCCATTTCAGGGTGAACAGAGGGAGACAGAGCAGAACGTGGATACCACACCGACACCCTCACAAGCTCCCACGCCTCCCTGCAGTCAGTGCTGCCCCCGCAGCCTGGTGGGCACTTCTGGCCACCTGGAAGGGAAAGCACCCGAGGATAGGCCGAACCCCAAGGGGCTCCCGGGGATCTCCTGGGGCCGGCGGGGCTGGTGTCTAAACAGCAAAGGGGCGAATGATAAACACATCTGCCAGAATTATCCTTTGAAAGTGAGGGAGAAACCAACGTTCCTGGGCAAAGACCCCACGAGAATGCGGAGGGCAGACAGGGCACCAGGCGGGAACGGGAAGTCACAGGGGACTCAGGCCGCACGGTGAGCAGGATCCTGCAGCAGCGGCTCAGGGCCGGTGTTCTGGGTTCTGCATAACTGAAGAGACTCATACCCTTGGGAACCTAATCATCTCTGAAACTCCCCTGCGGTAACTTTGGTTTATAACTCCATGTTCTGTTTTGTACATCATTTAAATGCACTTCAAGAAATTATTAACTTATGCCTGCAGCACACACTGCAAAGATGCAATTATGGGACATCCGCAGCCACAGGGCTGGGGACATAAGCTCTGGTGTCGTTCCACTGAGCTGGTGACGACTCAAATTTGAGAGCCGGGATGCAGGCAGGGAAAGGTGTCCCCACGGCAGTCACAAAGAAGATAACGACAGGGTGTGCAAAAAAGGCAAGAGGAAAGGAATGTGGACGCCCCGTTATAAAAAGCAACTAAAAAGAGGCCAGCCAGTAAGGCAGGGAATGAGGGACCAAAAGCTATGGGAATACAGAGCACGGCCCCCAAAATCAAAGATGTCCTTCACTGTTGTAATCACTTTAAATGCAAATGGATGAAACTCTTCAACCTAAAGACAGAGACTGGCAGAACGGATTTTCCAATCTATAATCCAAGGACAGGCTCTGTACAAGAGCTCACTTTAGATCCACAGATGCAATAGGCCGAGAGTGAAGGGCCTGGAAAGGATTTTCCCTGAAAACAGCAAACAGACTAAGGGCAGCTGTGCTCGTGCCAATCAGCCTTGAAGTCAAAATGGGATTCAAGGCACGAAGGAGGGAATCGGGGGTTAACAATTCACACAGGAAGATGTGACAAGGGTGCCTGCCTGTACCTAATCACAGTCCATCAGATACATGAAGCCAAGCGCACAGAAGCAGAGGAGAAACAAGACCACTGCAATGTGGTGGAGACTGCATTGTCCTCTCAGTAACAGACGGAACAGAACAGCCAGGCAGCCGGCAAGGAGCGACCCGGAGGGCTTACACAACACAACCGACCGGCCAGAACCAGACCCAGACCCAGACCCAGACGCATGCAGGGCAGCCCAGCCAGGAACACGGCACACCTGCCACAGTGACCGACAATGGCTCCAGCCACAAATACAGCTCAGCCAGCTTCCAAAGGCTGCCAAAGTCTCTAACCACAGGGAGGCGAAGCTAGAAATACAATGAGAAGAAGTGAAACTAGAAAATTCAAAATTTTGGGAAAATTAACTAACACTTGCAAACAACCAATGGATCGAGAAGAAATCAAGAGAAATGAGAAAAATACTTAGAGACTGATGAAAATGAAAACTACATGAAACCTTATGGGACACAAGAAAACATGGTAGAGGGGGAATTTATAGCCACACTTTAAAGACCTCAAATCAACTCCGCAACTTCATGTATTAAGGAACTAGAAAGTAGAGAGAAAATGTAAGCCCAAAGTAGCACAACGAAAGAAATAAAGACGAGCACAGAGGTCAACGATACGGAGAACAGAAAAACAACACAGAAATCAATAGAACAAAAAGTTGGCTCTTTGGAAAGATCAACAAAATCAACAAACCTTTATTTAGCTAACTGGACCAAGAAAAAAAGAGAGAAGACTCTGGTTACTAAGATCAAAGTTGGGGCATTATCAATTCTACAGAAATTGAAAAGGGCCAACAGGACCAGGGATTTAGCTCAGTGGGTTCTGCCACCTGCCTTACAAGCACAAGGTCCCCAAGTTCGACCCCTGCTACCAAAAAAAAAAAAAAAAAAAAAAAAGAAA